AGAGAACTATACACAATGGCTGTGCCTAGACTGGCAAGTTTTTCCGCAAAAGTAGCTGCTTTTGTGGAAAAACTTGCAAGCTGTCTACACTGGCCTCTTGAATTTCCGCAAGAACACTGACGATCTCATGTAAGAAATCAGTGCTTATTGCGGAAATACTATGCTGCTCCCATTCGGGCAAAAGTCCTTTTGCACAAAGCTTTTGCGCAAAAGGGCCAGTGTAGACAGTTCAGATTTGTTTTGCGCAAAAAAGCCCCAATCGCGAAAATGGTGATCGGGGCTTTTTTGCAGAAAAGCGCGTCTAGATTGGCACAGACGCTTTTTCGCAAAAAGTGCTTTTGCGGAAAAGCATCCGTGCCAATCTAGACCCTCTTTTCTGCAAATGCTTTTAACGGAAAACTTTTCCATTAAAAGCATTTGTGGAAAATCATGCCAGTCTAGACACAGCCAATGGCTCCAAGATCTTTCTTGAGTGGTAATAACTAATATAGATCCAATCATTATATATATATATTGTTTGGCTTATGTTTTCCAGTGTTCATTGCTTTTCTTTTATCAACATTGAATTTCATCTGCCATTTTGTTGCCCAGTTTCCCAGTTTTGTGATTACCCTATTAATTCTTCAGTCTGCTTTGGATTTAACTAATGATAGTAATGAAGTAATGAAAAGTGATGTAAGGTGCACTTGGCATTATATTTTCTAATGACAGAATGCTGAGGACATGTTGCAAACAACCATGGTAGTCTAGAAAGGTTCAGCAAAACTTAACTACAGCTGAAGTGCATGAGAATTTCCAAGAGAGACTGTTAGGAGCTTCAGTAACTATGGCCGATAGATGTTTTCTTCTTTACAGCTTTGTTCCTTAAACTTGGAATTCTCCAGTGGTTAACTGATGTAGTAAGCCAGGAGACTATGAAGAAAATGAAAAAAAAATCACTATGTTATTTTCTGTTCTGACAGTTACACTGGAAAAACATAAAAAAGTGTGTGGATAGTTAATGTGGATGGTTCTCTATTTTTGCTAGTTAGCATACATTTGGAGAACTGAACATAGATCCATACTTTGTTTTACCACCAATAGTTTGGGTAATGATTCAGGAAACAAATTTCCTTAACAGTTTTTAGGTAACCTAGTTTTGCAGTTAGCCAAACTCTAAGCATGTTTGCTTCATTATTCATAGTAGTTGTTTCTTTCACAGAGGATTCCATTTACAACCCACAAAACCAAGGATTTTCTGAGGTAAGGTTCAGAGATGATGCTCTGTCCTTAGCTCACCCTGTTGACTACTACCTTACTGTACATAGTGTCATGATTTTAGAGTGTCCTTTTCTCTTTTCAGGTGCAAATCTTGATGAATTTCTATGCACTGCTAATGATATGAGCCCAGTTTTAGCAATTACCACACACTACATTTAGCCTATTCAGAGCTGTTCTGTATCAGTTCTCCCCCCCTTTGAATGTTGTATCTCTGAGAAGAAAATACCTAAGGTATGAGAATGCTTAGGATATAGTACTGACTCCAGATGTAAGCTGAGGGAGATGAAGGAAGAGAGAAGAGCTTATTTGACACAAAAGTCTAAGAGGAAAGACAGTGAAGTATGAATTAATCCACTAAGTTCGTTGAGATATGGGCACTAGCCTAACTCAAAAATATTGATGAGAAGGGATAGTGAGGACATGAGAGCAAAACACTACAAGTACAAGGTGACCCCCAACTTGTGACGTGACTGGTTCCTGGGGAAGCGTTGCAAGTCGGGGGTGTTTTAACTCAAACCCTCATTGGTGATAGGCACTGTCATAAATGCGGGCTGAGGACATAAGTTGCGGGTTTTCGGCCCCTTCTGCACTTGAAAAAAATATTTGTAAGTGCAGGGGGTCACAACTCGGGTGGTCGCAAATCGTGGGTTTCCTGTAAATATATTGCTTGTAGGGCCAGCTTCTACTACCTTTTCTTACCTTAAGTAGTATCTCTGTGAACAGTTCCACTGAAATCAGGGAATAACATTTTCAAAGAGGCCTCAATGATAGATTTTCAAAGGTATTTAGATAGCCAAAGATACACATAGGCACTAATTCGGATTTTCAAAAGTGCCCAGATGCCTGCCTCCCATTGATTCAGTAAAAATTAGGTACTAGGTGCTTTTGAAAATCCCATTAGGTACCTATCTGCATTTTCAGTGCATAAATACTTTGAACATCTGGCCCCAACTGTGCACTTTTCAAAAAAATGTATCTAGTGAAATTAGTTGTAGAATAAGATACTGCTAATTATGGTTGGCAAAATCGGGCCTTAAATGTTTACAAAACAACTTTTGTTTGCAACACCAAAAAGTTACAAATACCACGTTATTTTGTTTTACTGGTTGTGAGCACCAAATATCTGCTGTAACCACTTTCTTTTTAGCATTACTTGTAATGAAACTTGTCTACAGTTCTGGGCTGAAGAATTTAATATATTTTAGTAAAAAGCAAGTTCTCTAGGTAAGTACTTCATATTCCTGCAATTTTACTGAAAAGATGTTTGACAACATTATGATGAAAATCAAGTATGACTCATGTAAAACCATAAAAGAAAACATGTGCTTCAATTTTGTGTTCAAATATTTATTAAAACAGCACATGAACAATTATTTTCATCCGAACAGCGATCCTGCCAGCAGTACCAGTAACGTAATAGTTAACATTCCACCCAATTGATTAAATAGTGATGGTAATACAGATTTAACCACAATGCAAAAACCTACTATGCACTTTTGTTATTGTCTAGGCGTACAAATAATTTTAATAACAAATTAGCTAGCAAAAGTGCAGAGGTATCAACAGATAAAAATCACTGTCTTGGAACAGACAAAACCTTTTTTCGGATTTAAAAAAAATAAAATGCAGAGCTCTAAAAGTGTAGGGTCTGACATTACAAACACTTCCTGGAGTAGTGCTTATTTCTATTTTTTATTTAAAGTTACTCACATGTGTAAGTTTTTGCAGGATCTGAATCACAAATGTCTTTTCATCTGGCTCTTGGGATTTGACAACTTAGAGTCACATATAAGCAAGACTTAAAGAGTACAAGGTCTGCCAGAATGGTTTTCTTGTAGCAAAACACAAATGAAAATCACAGCTTTAAATTATTTAGTAGAATAATACTTTACATAAAGAGAATATATGTTGTTGTTAACAGACCAAGAAAGCTAAGCATTTATTAACAGGCCAGAGGGCCTATATTATATTTTAATGAGTTGAAAAAAAAAACCCAAACCAAAAAAACACTCCCCCCTCCAATAATATAAGAAAACAAAAGCAATTCAAGAGATCCATAATTCAATACATATGCATTTGAATGTGGATCCAAAGTACTTGTTTTGTCCACGTTTATGGTAACTGATTCAAGAAACTAGCTAAGAAAAGTGACATTAACTAATGGAAGAAAAACATAAAATGACAAGGTTATTTCATTTATAATTGGAGCTGAACAATATAATACAGAATATTATTTAAATATTGGGACACTTAATTTTAGACATACCTCTAAACTTCAGCTTCATATACATGTGCTTTTTGTTTACAATTTACAACCCATACCATAAAAAAAAATTACAAAACAAAAAAATGCAGAAATAAATACAGTTCCAGAAAGAAAACTGTGTGTTGAGAGGTAAATAATAAAATCTACAGAACTTAGAACACACTCCGTGTGTAATTAAATTGCAATTAGGTCCTATTCTGAAAAAAAAATGCCTGGCCCTTTGTTGTTTTGTGTTTGTGCACCCGTTTTACATCTGTGCAAAGTGTGAGTAAAATGCAAGGACAGGGCAGCTTACAGCACCTTTTTAATTATACTGAGTTGCACCTTACTCAGTAAGTAAGCTTATTATTTTGAAATCAAAAGAGCTTTTTCAGAAACAAGGTGCTATACTCATCATGAGAAAAGGTGGCATATTCTGGCCCTGTGGCAGAATCACATACTTACTTTGCACAGGTGAAAGTGTGGACAGAAGTGCAAGGCAAGAAGAGTAGGAGACCAATGATACTTATCCTTTAATAACACTGTCACAGATATGTACTAAATCTCCTTCAACGGCTGCTATTGGCTTTGTATATTCATTTAAACAAGACTTTATGGGGTAAACTCCTTCATTTTGCGCTGAGGTGAATGGCCAGCACCATCCAGGGTCAGACTGCAACCTGCTTCTTGGTACAGAGCAGTTACCTGCAAGACTTCACTGTCCCTTGTCTACACTTACTGGGAGATAAACACTGCAAGGATTATCTCCCAAGGGTTGATTTAGCAGGTCTAATAAAGACCTGCTAAATCAACCGCTGACCATGCTCCTGTTGACTCTGGTACTCCACTGGGTTGAGAAGAATAAGGGAAGTCAATGGGAGAAACTCTCCTGTTGACCCCACATATTGTGGATGTCGCAGTAAGTTGAACTAAGGTAAGTGGACAACAGCTATGCTATTCAGGGAGCTGGAAGTGTGTACTTTAGTTTGACATTGCCCTCTAGCGTAGACCTGGCCTAGGACAAGTCCCACCAGTAAATGCTCACCAATGTGCCTTATTCTCCACTGCCATGTACCTGGGTCCTATAATGTGTAGCACTTGGGCACCGAGAGGACCACCATGGTTGAATGCAAAGAGCATGGTGAAAAGCAGAGGCCTCCTGGCTATGATGGTGATTGTAGGCTTGTAAGTGTGGCATGTCCCCTCCCAAGAGAAGCTTCCAGTTGTGACTTCTACCCTTGTGCCAGCTACTCACAGTAGCCGCCAGAAGAAGTAGCAACACAATGCCAAGGTCTCTGCTAGCCCAGGAAGGCCCACTGACAGTAATTTTGGGTCCCAGGGCAGAACAGTTAATGGGCCCTCTACGACGCGATCCACCTGATGTTGGGGGGTGCTGCACCTGTGCCACTGGCACCCAGCCAACTGCTGCCAGCTGTGCTGTTGGCATGTTCTCTATTTTTTCTCATCCCGTGAGCAATAAATGTTAGGTGGCCTGGCCCTTTGTTGTTTTGTGTTTGTGCACCCGTTTTACATCTGTGCAAAGTGTGAGTAAAATGCAAGGACAGGGCAGCTTACAGCACCTTTTTAATTATACTGAGTTGCACCTTACTCAGTAAGTAAGCTTATTATTTTGAAATCAAAAGAGCTTTTTCAGAAACAAGGTGCTATACTCATCATGAGAAAAGGTGGCATATTCTGGCCCTGTGGCAGAATCACATACTTACTTTGCACAGGTGAAAGTGTGGACAGAAGTGCAAGGCAAGAAGAGTAGGAGACCAATGATACTTATCCTTTAATAACACTGTCACAGATATGTACTAAATCTCCTTCAACGGCTGCTATTGGCTTTGTATATTCATTTAAACAAGACTTTATGGGGTAAACTCCTTCATTTTGCGCTGAGGTGAATGGCCAGCACCATCCAGGGTCAGACTGCAACCTGCTTCTTGGTACAGAGCAGTTACCTGCAAGACTTCACTGTCCCTTGTCTACACTTACTGGGAGATAAACACTGCAAGGATTATCTCCCAAGGGTTGATTTAGCAGGTCTAATAAAGACCTGCTAAATCAACCGCTGACCATGCTCCTGTTGACTCTGGTACTCCACTGGGTTGAGAAGAATAAGGGAAGTCAATGGGAGAAACTCTCCTGTTGACCCCACATATTGTGGATGTCGCAGTAAGTTGAACTAAGGTAAGTGGACAACAGCTATGCTATTCAGGGAGCTGGAAGTGTGTACTTTAGTTTGACATTGCCCTCTAGCGTAGACCTGGCCTAGGACAAGTCCCACCAGTAAATGCTCACCAATGTGCCTTATTCTCCACTGCCATGTACCTGGGTCCTATAATGTGTAGCACTTGGGCACCGAGAGGACCACCATGGTTGAATGCAAAGAGCATGGTGAAAAGCAGAGGCCTCCTGGCTATGATGGTGATTGTAGGCTTGTAAGTGTGGCATGTCCCCTCCCAAGAGAAGCTTCCAGTTGTGACTTCTACCCTTGTGCCAGCTACTCACAGTAGCCGCCAGAAGAAGTAGCAACACAATGCCAAGGTCTCTGCTAGCCCAGGAAGGCCCACTGACAGTAATTTTGGGTCCCAGGGCAGAACAGTTAATGGGCCCTCTACGACGCGATCCACCTGATGTTGGGGGGTGCTGCACCTGTGCCACTGGCACCCAGCCAACTGCTGCCAGCTGTGCTGTTGGCATGTTCTCTATTTTTTCTCATCCCGTGAGCAATAAATGTTAGGTGCACTGAGATATGTGCAAATGTGCACCACTGCTAGAAACAAAAAAACCCCTAGATATAATATATATATTTAAAAAAGTAACCATAGGGATAATTACCCCCGCCAGAGCAGGTTAGGCATTTCACTACTCAGTACCCACTTACATTTAAAGTGTAAGAGAAATACAAATGATGAAATGTATAGACCAGTCAAAAAACGACAATAGCACACTTTAAAAGAATAAAATTACGCAGAATATGGGTGCAACTGCAGGAGGCACAGAGAAGCCACATCACTAACACAAGTATGTGTTAGGAGGTGAGTGTGAAAGAGACTGTGTGAGAGAGAGGGAGACACAGAGAAAGACACAAGATTGTGTGTATGAAGCAAAGGGGGTCGTGTGTGTGGGAGGAAGGGGACACAGGACACGGGGGACTCAAGCCAGGCAGGTGGGCACTCACTCACGCAGCTCACCCTAGACTGCATGCAGTAAGCTCCGTCCGACTCCCAGCTGTGTCTGCCCCTTGTCCCTTTGTCAGAGCGGGGTGCACCAGGACAGCGGCGAGCCCCATCCCTGTCTGCACAGCGAGGGCGAGGTCCCCGGGACAGCGCCACGTGGGGGAGGGGCACCTGAGCACGTGCGGCTGACTGTGCGCAGCTCAGCAGCCAGGCGGCTTTGAATCCTCCTTCCTGGGGCCCCGGGCCCTTTTACCTGGCCCGGGCCGCGGGGTAATTGCTCCCCCTCCCCCGTCGGCCAGCGCCTCACCCTTTGAGATACTCCTTCCTGAGCCGGGTTAGCCGGGCGTCGTGGCTCCGGATGGTCAAGGAGAGCAGCTCGTACTTATCCCGCAGCCCGGCGGAGATGTCCAGGGTCTCCTTGAGCAGGGTCCGCGTGTGGATGAGCATGCCCAGGAAGTCGTCGTTGAGGCGGCTCTCCTCCTTGCCCTCGTGCTCCTGGCCCTGCCGGAACTTGCCCTCCAGCTCGGCCAGGGACTTGTCGGAGTTGGCGTAGGCGTCGCTGATCTGGTGGGACTCCCGGCGCAGGTACTTGCCGTAGCTCTCCTCCCCGTCTAAGTCGTACGAGATGCTCCGGCTGATGCCCTCCAGCACCCGGCCCTCCTCCTCCACCTGCCT